TAAATTTTTTAAAAATTTTCAATCAAATTCACTATAGTAATAATAATAATAATAATAATAATAATAATAACAATAACGACAACAGCAATATTCATTATAATAATTACAATAATAACATCGGAAAGGCTCCCATCAGAGTACAAACGTCCCATTAGAAGACCGAAACAACAATGAGAAAACTCACTGGTAAAACTAGTTGTGTAAATGTGAATGAGTAAAGTAAAGTCGACTTGCGCAAACAGCAAGATTCGCAACTGAACATCAACATAAGATGATGATGATCAAAATAATAACATCATTATCACTAAGACAACTGGGATGTTCCCAAGTGATATCTTCATTTTGATATTCATATTTATAACGACTCAAAAAAATTATTCCTCAAAAGCCATTGTCATTTTTACTCGCTCACTATTATAACACACTAACAGATACCACCAATAACAGCAGTCACTAACCACGTTAACAACTGCGACGTCCAGTACATAATACGCCACGTGGTCAACAAAAAATGATCTGATAGATTTCTATCTGTACCACACAAATCATTACTATTGTAATCATTGTCAATATCATTATTCATACTACCAATATTATTATTATTATTATCATTATCATTAATTGTTGTTGCCGTATTATTAATACTTTCAAATCTTTGTGAAGATGCCGTCGGTCCATTATATTCCAATACACATCGCTTGTAGAGTGCCTTGAAATTTTGCAAATATTACAAAATGACAGAAGTTCAAATAAAATAAACAAATGAATTCTCTCCCCAAAAATGCTTGCACAGCACAAGGAAGAGAGTAGTTCATGCACCATTCCGATCACTACAAGCAACCACTGATAAAAATCAGATTTTGTGGCAACAGACGGATCATTTCTTGTACAACTGGTATTGTTGGTGGTGGTGGATGTGCAAAGGAATCGAGAGAAACGGGGAGGAAAGACTGATTGGTGTTTTGCGATATTATTATTAAAATCACTAGTAATTTAGTACAAACAGGCATTTAAATACAGTTTCACTAAGTATTATTATTAATATTACTGTTATTGTAATTATTATAGAACAAAAAAAAAAATTCATACGCGAACGACTGAGTTAACAATAAGAAATAAGCGATGAAAAAATAATGAAAACAAACACCTACATGAGTGATATCCAGTGGCAATAAGAAAATAATCATAAATGAAGTATACCAACCAATTAATGTTGTAATAATAACAACTATGCGCTGGTGTTTTATATCGGCAAAACGATTCAACAAGTATAAACTCAGTATGAATATACCCAATCCATTGACTAACATTAACATCATGCTGCTACTCTTACGGTTGCCTCCACAAAAAGCGCACACCTAAAATTATTTTTATAAACTTATTTACTTGTTTTCAGGTTCATATTTTAACAGCAACTAGTAATGATGATAACAATACTCATATCAATAATCTTAATAACAATAATAATAACAATAAATATAATAAAAAATTTCATAAATAGTTGTCAATTAGCGATGCATACGCACTCGTCAGAAAACAACGACAATATATATAATGAGTAATATCTTTAATTGATTCAATAAGATGTGAATGCACTGAATAATAATCACTAGCCATTTTCCAAAAATTATTCGAAAAACAAATACAACAACTCACTATACAAACAACAACAGTGCCAAATAACAATTGATTCGTGTGTGCCAAATAACAATGTGAATATTCAAATTACTCTCACAACAATCATAAAATTTTAAAAAAATGATTCGGAGACCAAAGTTTTTCAAGCACATATCTATACAGATCACTAGCTAAATTTCAGAAAAGAAAAAACTCTTCCAGGAATCCAAAACAACAAACGCAAATAAATATTCTCTCTTTCTAAGCACATTAAATCACATCAATATACAGCAGCGATAACAATAACAACACCCTCAATAATGGTTACTAGATAACAACAACAAGTATAATAATAACAAACGATAAAGCATAATCTCGCTATCTTCGCATGTAATAGTCAATAACGGTCGAAAATGCTGCAAAGCCAGCAGCCCCAAAAACAGCTGGTTTTACGCCGGCCCTTAGACCTAATAAACCACCTACAATTGCACCTGAGTAAGTACCATTCTTCCAGTCGCTTTTAGCTCGATACGTTTCCAGTAGACATTCACTGCCCGCGAACAATAAACCGATCGAACCAAAATTCTTGCCATATGACCACATACGACCTTTCATCTCACGCCAGGTTTCTTTTAACGATAACTGTAATTTGTACAATCACAAACTGTACTTGAAAGCATCACTCCGAGAAGTAGAATCGCGATATTGGGCCTCAATTTAAAAAACCTTTTTTACAGTGACAAGAATAATAGATTTAATAAAACCAACCGGCTTTGAGGGGTCACCACCAACCATAGACATTTGCGGGTCAACTGATGCCGTAAAGAGTCCAAAAGCAACTCCGACACCATAACCTAAAAGACCAGCTAATACCGACTTGAAAACACAATTCTCCATTAATCGATTCATAAAGAGTTCTTCTTTGCTCATCTCTGGCAATGTTAACATCTGCAAAAAACTGTACATATAACCATAACAATAACAACAATTAACAATGAACATGCGTGACAACAAAAATATTGATAAACAAGGGTACTAAGAATAACATGTAAAAACACCAACCTGGACTGGTTTGACCGGCGTTCCCTGGGGATTCCAAGGTCTCGTTCTCGAGCCAATCATTTCATCCATCATAACACAATAATCCGACGGTTTATAAATGAACTCTTTCCGCACTTCATTTCCGACATCTTGTTTGGTATCACTTCTCTGTTTCTTCTCAAGAAACGGATTACCGAATAACTCTTCGATGGGAATTCCTTTCGCGAATGCACTTGCTGACGATGACGTCGTAGTGGCCATTCATCCGCAACTGCTCTTAAATCGTCGTGAAATACATGAACAGACCTACTTCCGAATTATTTTAACGCAAAATTCTCATCAATATTTCGATGAACAAATCACACAAATGAAAACATTCAGGAGGAAGAGGGTGTGGTCTAACTAACACACACAGAGCACGCGTCAGCCATGGCATGCATGAAGACAGTGTGCCACAGCTATCTCCGCATATTATCAACTGCTTTTTCGAACAAGGAGAAGCATTTCAGCCGAAATTAATCCAATTTGAGTAAATAAGCATGCTCATAGATAATTATGATCTATGCAACGAGAAGTAAACCAATGATAAACGCTAACGATAAGTAACAACTGGATATAGTTTGTATTCATATTTGAATATGATCAATTCACTTGAGGTGAGCAATGGGTCAACTGTAAAGCTATGCTCACTGAAATGAAACCAAACTGAACAGTATTGACCTGTTGTGCAGTAAAAATCAAACGCACACTAATACAAACTGAGATGAATCCGTGCTGGATAACATTCACCGTTAAATTGAATGTTGTGATCCTGGTATTACTACCTTCTTGTGTGAACTGTTTTACACAGATACAAGTGTACTGGAATCAGTCACTCAGCTACATAGCATGGCCTCAGAAAATCGTTGATATTACTTGTAGTAAACAAAATCACCCGACAAGATCTATACTCTTATGAAACTAGAGAGTCAGGAGAATCTGGTGATGGGAAGAAACAATCCTATTATAAACAATCCTATAAAGTAAACCTTGTATTTAGATGTTATTAAACTTTATTATAATGCACTGAACTTTATTAAGTAGTTAGGTGTTATTGATAGTGTTCCAACTGGCTGTGACTATTGAGCATTACCATTGGTCACGCCAAACGGCATAACTCTCGTAACTTATCAGTTGATTTCAATACTTACAGAGAATTTCTGTAGTACTCAATCTCGGCTACAATATGGTATATATCATGATTATAAATTTTCCCTGTCGGTTGGGTAACAATTCAAAATATTTCTTGAACTTTTGCATTTCAATACCTTGGTTGCTGGCAAATCTGTGCATCATGTTTAATTCTTTTGGACCTACGCTACAAAATAATATATAATTTGTCCGGACTCATTTCCGTTAAATGGGTAAGAAATTCACATTTCTGAACATATATCAAATAAAAATGCGAATTCCGTCACTTCGCGAACTGTCAGCATTCCGAGTGCGCGAATTCTGCATAGAACGGGTGAGTTTTAAATTTAAATGAATTTCACAGATTAACGCTAAATCAAAATTAATCTGTAAAATTTACCAGAAGCAAAACTCGCCCCACTCCTCTGAGTTGCCACACGTTTCCTTGTAAAGTCCACCCGCCTGTAGAAAACCGATCAAACTTTCACTAGAAATCGTTTATCCATTAAGACGTCAAACTTTTGATAAAAATCAGCGAAGTGAGAGCGTTGAGATATGAAAAAACAATGCCGATGAAGCATTCTAGGAATGTGCATTACTAGGATCATTATTAATCGGTTCTATTTTGGGATTGGAATGTGAATATTCAGTATAAGATATAATAATCGTGATTTTCCGAAAATGGGTAAACTTGCAGTTTAGGTCAAGGAGAAAGGGGTGTAGTCTAGTGTTGTGCGGGGAGTCTCCAAATTCGGGGCCTCCATCCCCGACCATTTTCGAGCTGCGGCCATTCTCTGGGACTCCCCATCCCCGAGTTTTTTTGCTCTCTCCGCACAACACTGGTGTAGTCTATAACACACACAGAACATGCGTCAGCCATGGCGTACATGAAGATATTGCACTACAGCTATTTCCTCATAATAACAACTGATTTCTTGAACGAGTAAGGAGCTAATCATTGGTTCTGGATGTTGATGGGGTTATTAGGATTGTTCTTACTAGCTCTAATAAACTTCGTTTGTTCCGGAGCTAGCGATAAAAACTAGTATAACGGCTGTTACTTTATTGGATTTAGTCTGTAAATTAGTGGAGAACGTGAACTTACAAATGAGTGGTTACTAAGCATTTTACCTAAGTGGTGTTGATAGCGTTTCTACTATGTGGAGTGAACCGAGGTTTCGAAGACTCCTTCTAAAGAAAAGGATGAAGTGACTTTCAGCTTGAGCAATTTACCATTACAATTGCCACCGTTCTTGTATGGTTACGTTCACGAATTTCCTCACTCAGTTTTCAGTTGATCGAAGAAAAGAGAATCATGCGTGTATATTCAGAAGCGCTGACTGAACACTGTTGAAGATTTCGATACGAAGCCTGACTCATTGCTGCCGGAATGAAATGCAGAAGGTTCTTTCGAAGTTACAAGCTCCCACAGAAGAAAAAAATTGAACATGAGTCAGAGACATCAACCTTTTCTGTACGCATCACTAATTTTCAAACAATGACGCTCAATCTAGCTTGCCGATCTGATCATAGCATTTACCCTAACACGCATTATACGTCAAGACTGCAAATGCTGCATTCGTTGTATTGCTTTGCCATTCCTTTCCTATGCTAAATGACATGCTAAATGTCTTTCATAAATTCTTTCTCCCTTCGAGAGAATCTATCATCTTACTGGAGAATTCTTGTTTTTTGTCATATCGCCATGTTTTTCGAAAGAATCTAATGCATTCCTAGAGTTTTGTTTTATTATGCCCAGGGTATATATGACGGACGATTTTCCCATGAAACGTCCCTCAACTCTTGATCACTCACTTCAGTTACACTTTGCTGAATCGCTAACAATGTTTTGCACCAGCAAATTTTCAAAATGCCTCTTCACATCTATATTTCAAAAAGCCTTTAAATTTCAAGTTCTTAGTCCTCAACTGCGATGCAAACAATCCTAGAACCAATACTGCATTTGAATTCACTCAGACCTGTCGGCACAAAACTACAACAGTTGCCGCCATGACAATCCTGAACTCGACAGATGTTGACAATTCGTTGACCCTTTGAGGCGATTGCGGTGTAATGTGTGGCGACACGTGGAGAAACATTTATACAGCTGTCGCGCCACGCACCATTGATATTTTCAAATTTATCCCAATCTCAGCGAAGTTTTGAGTTTAATTCCGGGCAAGAGCATCAAACTTGAGCCTGAGCCTAGCATGTGACATCGAATTATACCTGAGTGGTTTGTGACGGGTTCTTATGCAGTTTTAGATTCTACCTCGTTTATGGAACGCCACCAAATCATGCCCAGCAATGTTTCCTTTCATCATGCCTGGCGTGACAGCATCAAAAACACGATAATGATCAAAGAGAGGATGGATACGGTAATGAACGCACGAAAACACGAAACAATCACATAAACAACAACGCAAAACAATTACATAAATAACAACAACAGCAAGGGGATAATCAAACAAATATTCACATAAACACGAGATTTCAATGCCCATGTCCAATCGAACAATCCGAAACAGGATAACACGAACAAATTCTAGAAGAATATCTTGAAAAAGAAATTGAATCAAGCCAGTTGGAATCATCTCGGTTCAATTCAAAATTAATTTGAGGTCAAGTCAAGCTAATGCTAAGCGAATCTTGACTCAGGTCTTGCTGCCTCTACAAGGTATAAGAACAGTCCGAGGAATGCTGCCCATCTTTCTATTCCTCGAGTTATCATCTGAGAACTCGAATGATAAAGTTTGAGAATATTTCACGATGTTACCCCGAAAACGCTACTTCAAAAACACTATCATTATAACTTACACATCAACTCATTCCAAGCCTGAGAAGACGCTTTGCTAGCAACAAAGAGAAAATTCTAACTCCCTATGCACGGATCAAACCGCAGTCATCCAGTTCAACCTTAGCCCGTGATATAAACTCTCAAAACTGGTCAATTGTTGAGCACAGAGGCGATGACTTATCGAGTACCTCATCACCACTCATGTTAGACAATAACTGCACTGGCAAGGG